AAATTTTTCTATAAATAAATCAAATTTGTTTAATTTTCTATTTGTATTTAGATTCACGAATAGATTTTATATTTAAAATAATATTTAAAAGTACGTAGATCAATGGTCTGAATATGAAAATCGTATAAAATATCATTCAAATATATAAAGAAATAGTACAAAATAATAACATTTATTAAAATTATTTCAAAAATAAATATAACATCATTTTATTTTGAATGTTATTTCATAAGTATAATAATTTATAATTGATATGAATTCGAACAATTATATAAAATTCATCTGATTAGTATTATTTTGGTTCTTCAAAAATTATTTTGGAAGTTGTAAAATGAAGCAAAAATTATAACAATAGTTTGTACTAATTTATAATGATACGCATTAAATATATATAATCGGATGTCTCATGTAATTGAATAAATAGTGATATTTTAGTAAAATATATTAACCGAAAAAATAAAAATTCCTAATACTTTGGTCATATTTATTTTATTTTATTATAATACAATTTTTTTATATTATATAGATATAATTTTATATAAGCCATTCATTATTGATTTCTAACTGGAACTTTTAAATATAGAGTTAGGCAACGTCAATAAAATATAAAATTGAATTTTTGCTCGTATCATTATGAACTCATCATTTATATAATGTATTGTATAATCAATTTCAAAAAGCCTATGAATTCCCTAGACTAAAGACTATAATCTCTAATGGAAATGTTTTTAATAATTAAGGGAAGATTAAAATTCATAGCCAATAAATTATTTCAATTTAGAGTTTGATAATTGAGTAACAACCTAGACGTTAATTACTAACATACAAATGCAATTTATAAATTTTATATGTTATATTAAATAAATATTTTAAATGTTTTTAGTATCTAATATATTTTAGAAATTTAATATATATTTACATTATCCATTATTTTGTTGAAAAAATAAAAAATTGTTTCAGGTCGATAATATAACAATATTGTATTAAATGAATTAGAAAGAGAAATAAATTATATAGTGATATTAAGTAAAAATTTTATACAGTAATAAACATTAAATACTATAATTAAATACTAATTTATTTAACTAGCATAATTCTCGAATGAAAGTTATATTTATACTAATTTTTCTACAAGATAAAACTATTCATATATCTAAAAATTTTCCAGAACTAAAAACAATAAAATTTCAATATAAGTATATTTCATCATTTACAAATGAAAGTTTATTTGGTTCTTAAATTGAAAAATTCAATTTATTTTCAGTATGAACGTGAAATATAGGGTAATTTTTTAATTATAAATCATTATATTATTTGTCTAATGTTTATTAGTATATAGAATACTTAATGAGGATACAATGTAAAATATTATAAGTAATGTAATAAAATTTTTTACAGATAAATTACGTTTTAAATTTGATAATATATAGTATTCTTTCATTAATTTTAGTATTCCAAGCATTTAAAACCTACGCTTTTGTAGATTACGCTACATTTGATTCGGTAAATCATTGTCCAATTCAAATAATGTAATATAGAAACTTCAAGAATGCTTTTATTTTAATTTAATTAATGAAATGGAAAGCTTTTAACTATATAAAAATAACCTCACCGTTAATAAAATGATGTTTTATAAATTTATATTTAGTATTTAATATTTTGTATGTAGTAAAAATCTACTTTATTATTTAAACTTAATATACATATATTAATACATTTTTATATCTCATACTTATTATATAATATAATATAATATAATATAAAATAAGTAACTTTTATAAGAAAAATAGTAATAATTAATACATGATAAGAAACTTTACAATAATTTTATAATTAATACTTACAATCTAAATTTATGATATATTTATGATCATAAATGCAAATTTAAAGAAATATTTTTTTAGTTTTATAAGCAACTACATATTTGACTATTTTTAGGAAATTTTTTAGGTAATCATTAGATAAATCATGTACAGAGAAAAAAATTAAAAATTTGTCTTTATTACCAACTTAAAAATAATATATATATAATATACAATTTCCTAAAAATAATATCAGTTGTTTTGTTATTTAGCAAACTAAAAAAACATTGCTTTAAATTTATTCTATATATATTTAATTGTTCTAAAATCTATAAGTTGATATATATATATATAGTCTTTTATATACTAATTATAATATTTGAGAAATGAAACTAGAAAAAATAATTTAATTATAATGTTGATTGAACAATTTCAAAAGAACAGAAATAATAATGCAAATTTGATTATATCTATAGGAGTACAGTACTTATTCGTAGTTAATAAAAGTAATTTTACTAATTTTGATAGAGCGTATACATATAAAATAGATGTATTTAAGACAAATATTTGATCTATTTTACGTTTGAATTCTCGATTATCTTAAAATATTATATAATATAATATATCATTAAAATTATCTTTTTAATGTGAAAATAATAGTAAAGCGTCGGTTTTGCTTATGATTTATTGATCTAATTCAATAATAAAAAAAAATTTTTAAATTAATAAAAAGTTGAGTGGTAGGACTTTTGTCTCAAGTTAACTAGCAAATGAAGTAGTTTATAGTGATTTCGCTAAAATTATATATTAAATACTATAATTAAATATATATCAAATTATATATAAAATATAATTAAAAAAAATTACATATGATTCAAGGATAACTAGAAAAAATTATGGATAATTAATTTAAATCGTGTAAATTTTATGTAAAGGAAGTAAAATCAAAACAGCCCAAAATTGCTGTTTCACTGCTAAAGGGGGAATTAGATTTAATCATGTAATGATGAAAAATTAGTTGCATTTTGAATACAGAATTAATCAATCGAGTGACAAATCTCATTCTATAAGATTGATCTCAAAACTAACTAATATAAGATATATTAAATTTTAATGCTTGAGCGCTCTTTCAAATTACAATTTATGATTTTCAGTTAATAATAAATTTTACAATATACATTTACTACCAAAATTTACTACTAAAATTTACTTCAATTTTTTTTATGAATAAGAAGTCATACAAAATAAAGTAAAAAAGGATAAGTGATAAATATAATAAAATAATTATTAAACAAAGATTTTATAGTACTTTTTATTGTTACATAGAATAGCATTTCAGGATTGTATTATAAAAGTGAAAATTTTTTAAAAAATAACGCTTTTTTTTTTAAAAAAATTGCTTCTAATATTGAATTTGATAATGAGTTTCGTTTGATGAGCCGTATAAAGTAATAGACGAATAACGTTTTTAATTATCAGTGATAAGAAACAAACGCTAAAAATTTTAGAAATTACTGTGTGTGCATACGAATGTAAAACCAATAAAATCTAGGGGAATCATCTTTGAAGTTTTATGCGTAATTTTATATCAGGATAATAATATAACATTCATATTTTATTTATTATTAAAGATTGTATTTATCATTATTTTCAATTAGCAAAATTTTGTATTTGTTTTTATACACTAAAAAATTAATTTTAGAATTTAAAAAAAATTATTATTACAATCAAATTTAATATTTATTTCTTGATTAACATGGACTATATAACTGTATAGGCAACGACTTTTATTTAATAAGGTAAAGTCTGTAAATATTATAACTAATGAAATTCACAATTGATCAAGATTATCCTTTAACATCTTATTTAATTTATATAATTATAATTATTAGGAATATTAATAAGTTAAATAATTATTAAAAAATTTATATTTGAATCAATTTGAATAAATTATACTGCTTAAAGATTAATTTCATTAGTGATTCCTTGTCAATCATTATTGTTAATTGATAATTTGATATGAAATGTAAAATCTAGATATATATGAATATTTGCTACAAAAAGGATTACAATGCAGTTTTAGTGAAACTAAATCTTGTTTTAATATGTAATTGTTATAGTTCGATTATAAAATATAATTCTGTAGTATGCTTTTGAATTTGTACTAATTTATTATTAATAATTCCAGTCTAAACAATGTTTCTATGTTTACTGTTATATTTTTAAATATAAAGCATTTTATTTTCAGCTATTATATCTAAATTCTTATTTTATAAAATAATCGTTTTATTTAAATAACATGTATTCGATAATTAAATATACGGGTATGTCTATTTGATTTTTGAATAAACGATAGTAAAAATTTTTATAAATATTTCCATCTTTTCTAAATATATATTTTAAGTCGGTTTAAACACACTCATTTGTTTTTGACTACTTGATTAAAAAAGGAAAGTATTATTAATTATGAAAATAGTATAGAATAATTACTGTACATCTGCGGTAATTTATTGTCTAAATTAAATAAATATAATAATATATCCTTATAACATTTATTATCAAATTTAATATTCTTTCATACTCTACATAATATTAGCCATTTAAATATTTTGATTATTGAGATTAAAATTCAGATTAATTGATAAAGTTATTGTCATAACTCTTTATCAATAGACACAAGAAACAGGGATGTATGTGTATATGAAGAATTAGTACTTTAGTTATAAAAATAAATATTATAAAATACTTATTTTAGCTCTGAATTAATATTAGATAAATTAAAGTAAATTTGTTTTGAAAAATAAAAATTTTTAACTTTGTTTATATGGAATTTTAATGTTTTTTCTATCATTTATTTTAGTTTTAAAAGTCTATGTTAAGCTAAAATTTACTTATAAAACAAAATAATAAAAAATTATTATATATATAAATCATTATGTACATATAAAAAAAAAATTTATATATTAATTTATACGTCAATTTATATTTCTCGTGCAACATTTCAACGACGTAAGGTAAAAATATCAAAATCTGATTATTATTAATAATTATTATAATCAACAATTATTTATTGGAGTTTATTTCAAGGAAATATAAAGCTTGGAATGTATTATATTAAATTCTTAAATTATATTTTAGTTTTTAAATTAAGTAAATAAATGTTATATATTATGAATGAACATTACAGGTTGTGCAAACCTTTAATTTCTGCATGAGTGGTTTGGTCGGGTCGAAAACAAGCAATTTCCCTCTGATCACCAATAAAGAAATGCACATTGACATATTCATCGTTTGCATCGTTACCTGAGATGATGCCATTGTTAACCTCGTGTTTTTCCATGGCCTGGGAAGCCAGTGGCAATCGCAACTGTTTATTTTCCTACTTTTTACTCCTGCTGCTGGAACATTGATATTGTTTCGAGTTGACGCAGTGTCATGACTCTCCCTTTTGAATACATTCATCCTTGCATCTTTGTTCCTCTCCTTAATCCTGGTGACTCTATCCTCCTCCTCTGTATTAGCCTCCTCACTAATTTTCTTATTGATAGATGCAGAACAACTATACGGACTTGTTTCCCGTAAAAGCTAATAATCAACGTTGCAAGTGATGTTAAAGTCAGCGTTTCTAATTGAATTTTGGACTCTCTCTCATAATACATTCTGCACTATAATATTAAAATTGATGATTTTTTTTAATTGCAATCATATTCATTGAGTTAGGCATATATATATATCTGTATATATAATGTGGAATTAGAAAATAAAATAGAAAATAAATATAGAATTGACAGAAGTCTAATAGTTGGAATATTTATTTGAACCAAGTAAAGAGTATATTATACTCATGATATTCTATATTTATTGGGTTATTAAAATAAAATATAATAAATATAATTATATTTTATTTGTATACAATTTTTAAACAAGTAAAATAGAATATTCCAATATTTAAATATAATTATTTGTTTTTTATTAATTTTATGACATCAAATCTTCACAGAATTGGGAAAAATCAATTATTGGTCTGTTTACTTTAAATTCATTATGAACAATAAAGTTGTGAACAACAAGTTTGTGTTTATTATATATATATATATATATAAATGACTTATAATTTACCTTCATTATAACGAAATGCATTAAGAATATGATGTTTTGATAAAATGAAATGGAAAAAATTGGAAAACGCTTCTATATTTAAGACATTTGTGTGATTAAATTATTAATACTTTTATTAATTACTATTTATATAGTGAATTACTTATACTGCAAAATTCAACTTAAAATAATAATTAATTCATTAAATAAATATTACAAATAAGTTTTTCAAATACTCATTTAGAAACAAAACTCGGTATTCTTACCTAATATATCGTATCTATAATATAACAATTTTCTGTCTATAAGAATTTTTTAAATATCTTTTAGAAATATGATGGAAATAGTAAAATTATATGATTGTTACAATTAATTATAAAGTAAGTAATTTTTCCGTTATACAAATTTTGATTAATAACTACTTTCGAACTTACATTAATACAAATTGTATTGTAGAATAAATAAATATATAAATAGACATTGTTATGGATGTAGAATAAAATATATATGGATTACAATATATTTATAGAAAATTCATATCTATACAATTGAACTTTCTAGACATTAAAGTATCCTTATCATATGTGTGAAAATGTGTTTTTAATGTTCAGTTACAAATATACACCAAGGATATAAAATTAACTTTTTAGGAGCTTAGTGAATCAAAATAAGGTTTATTTAATACCCTATTACTTATCATATATACAATACGAGAATTCGTTTTCTCATTTAAAACTTGTTATAGTGGTCATACAGCATATAAATAAATGAACAATTAAATAAACATTCAAGTATATTGATAAAAAGTTACTTTTTTTAAACACATTTATATATGAAATTTTCAAAATATTAAAGTATTGTTGAGTTAGTTGGAATATTTTTTTAAAGTACGCACGTTCATGAATAATTCAACTGTCTAATAATTTAATTGAAATAATTTTAAACCTTACTTTTTTCATATTCGAACATTTTTCAATTAAATTTAATTTAAGAATTTAATGTTCTATTATATTTTTATTACATTTGATAATACATTTTATTTTGTATACAAAAAGTATAAATGTATGGAATACTATAATAGTTTATTATATATTTTTAATTAGATTCGAAATAAATTTTAAAATATATAATAAAATTGGAATATTTGGTAAATTATATATTCAGATACACAGTTTCACACACACTACTTGTGAAATAAAAGTATTATATTTACTTTAAAATAATTATCAGTTTATATTTATAAAAATTATACATTTTTAGGTGATAAGTAAATATATTGATGTATTTAAGTAGTTGTGAGTAAAATGTTTTTTATAACATTGTTTTATCAAACTAATTAACATTTAAAGACGAAATATTAAAACAACTAAAACAAATATTTTTAAATATTAATATTAGAGTATATAATTAATCATTATCATTTTTTTCTGTAGAAAGAAAATTTAATCTAAAATAAATTTAATTAAGAATAAAAATCAAATAAAGTCATTTTTACTTGGATTTCAACTTATTTCATATTGATTTTTACTGTATATATGATATGGAAATTATAATTGTCTATCATATAATATTTTTAAAAAAGATACTTTTAATAATAAATACTGATAAAATAATAATAAGAAATAACATAGAATACTAAAACTATAACCATATTTCCCCAAATGAACGAAGTACTTCAGAAATTCGTAAGTAACTTATTATACCTATGTACTTTTTTATTCCTCTTTACTTATAATGCTATTATAATGGCACCATAATGTACGTTATTACTTATTAAGAGAGAAAAAATTTTAAATTAAACCATTTTTATACTAAAACAAGCATTTTCATAAATTTTTATTTATTTATATTGAATATTTGAGGTTTCATAATATATCATTTTTTAATATGAAAAAAATTTTGTTTATGTATTTCATGTACTCTAAATCAAAAGTAATTGGATAAAGTATATAAAATATATATTATTAAATATAATTCTTTTTAAATTACTATACATATTTATACTCATATATAAAAACTATATTTGACTATACTAACTAGCTTTTTCAAAATTTTACTTATAATAGTTTATATTTAGTTTGATCGAACATATTCTTTTCTAAGTTAACTTATTATGAGTCATTTATTTTCAACAACACCTAAAATGTATGGCTAATATCAGGTTCCGATGAAATACATACAGTGGTGGAAGGTCAGATTAAAATAAAAAAATTTATCATAAAATTTACATCAAATTTATGCTTAAATATCATTTATTTAACACAATAAATATTATTCCAATGTTTTTGAATAGTTTATCTAGGAATAAAAAAATTATCAAAAAATCAATTTATTCGGGTCAAGTTATTCATACTATCTTATCGAAAACAAGAATACGAATATGAAGGCTACAAGAATAATAATCCTTGAGTATCGTTAATCCTATCATTTTGTTCAATAATGACAATACTGAGATATTAGAAGAGTGTAGAAATAGTTATGTTAATTTAGTTGGACAGATAATGGATTTTGTGAAAAATTTGTTGTTTTAATACAATTTAAACTGTTAGGTTTGTAGCCAATATAAAGACAGTATTTCGTGTGTTGTCAACGGTATATATATATCGCTGCAAGATAAACACTCAGCATCACATTTATGTTGGTAATACTTTGTATAGGATTTCCAGCTATTTATTAATTTCTTTAGTAAAGAGACTTTCCCAATCTGAAATGTATGCGTCGCTTAATAACTCATCACTATATGTGACATACGTTTATAATCAGAAGAAGCTGAATGTAGTGCTAAATTAAAAAGTAAAAATTTAAACATAATCTTAATTCTTTTACTATTCCTACAATTAATGTATTTCAGATTTTGTGAAGTATATAATATAATCCAAAATTTTATGAAGTATGAATACTATCGAATATATGAATGAAAATTAATTGAATTAATTGATTATTACATTATAATACAAGTTTATCTTTAATTATTTGCGTAAATAATTCTACGGCAGCGTTATCTTTTCACTGCAATAGTTATGTTGAATATGTATGCGCTTGTGTACCTATAAGATTGTATTTGAAAGATACAAAAATTATGAAAGTGCTAAAACATATCTAAAAATCATCTTCGGTATTATATTATTAAATGAAAATATAATACGCTACGCAGCCGCAATATCAAAATCAAAACAATAATCTTAGACGTATTTAATTTAAAATTATGTTATGCTATTTAAATCAAATCAAGAAATTTGTATATTTGATTGCATATTTATCTATAATTTATCTTTATTATTTAATAATTTATCTTGCACAAAAATGAAATAAATGTATATAATTCATTGAATTTATCTCATTGAATAGGAATATCAAAATATCACCCCTATACATATTGATAAACAATTGAATTTCTTTTTTTTTAAAATATAATTATCTACTATATATTATATTCCGTTATATTTTTCTGTATCTTGAATATTCTCATTTCAAATCTTTTTGAAATCATTAATAAAACAAAATTAAACTCGAAAAATTTGTTAGAATACAAATTAAAAATAGAAAATTAATAGAAACATTTTCAAGTATACGTAAACTGAGTGAATCTTTAATCTTTATTTAGCAAACTACAGTATAAAAATTAGTAGTTAATGGATAAGCTACGTCACCCTAATGGATAGCATTGCACACGTTCTCCTCTATGGGTAGTATCGATTTTACGTAGTTTCATAGCTAGTACTTATGTTGAAATTTATTTCATATACTGTTTGCTATAAAACTAGAAAATTGTATCAGTTTATTTTGGTTTTAAAGACATGAATTAAAAGTTGTTACTACATAACAGATGAAAATAGAAAGGGCAAGAATAAGATTATTACATTCGTATATATATAATTATAAGTTACCTTTAAATATATAAACATATTGAATGTAGCAAGCATCATAGGTTGATGTATAACTTAATGTATATATAATTAATGTATAAATAATGTATATATAATAAAAAATATAGATGAAAATAAAATATTCTATAATTCTAAAAGAAAATGATAAATGTTAATTAAATAATATTTAGGCTTCTTTTTTTGAATAGGATGATGCAAATATTAAGCATTTCAAAATTATATATACTCATGTACTTATACTTTCTAACTTTTCCACTAAGCATAGAAAATTTTCATTTATAAAACACTAATAGATATTCTGTACTTTTCATATGCTATATTGTTTAAAAGTATATTTAATTCTAAATGTTAATAAAATAAAAAATTCTAAAGAAATACTATTTTTTAGAGAATTCACTAAAAAATCTTAACATTAAACTATTAACGTTAAAAGAATTAAAGTAATTTGTTAAATACATAATAATAAGTGTTTTAAGTATTATTTAAATTTTCTAATTCACTTTTTCACAAATTAGATGTTCGAAAATGGCAAAAAAATTATCACAAATTTTTTATTCTAAAAATT